AATCGTTCCTAATCAAGTACGCTACACAATGAACTGTTCCGTTCGAGTTTATCGGTCGAGTAGAGAGTCGAGTCGAGTATCGATTATTGGGCGTTCTATACCACTATCGGCAGCGAGGCGCACTCGCCGAGCGACTTGCCGATAGTGGTATAGAATGCCCAATAATATACTACTATCAAGTAATCAAGTATTCTTTTTCTTTTCTTTTTAAAAGAAACGTTGCCCCACATTAGGATTTTCTCCTGTGTCGTGGGTGCGTTTACAAACATACAAGTTCACATACAAAATGACACCCAGACCCGAAACAACAATTTGTGGATCACACACAGTGTTGTTCCGTGCGGGAATCGAACCCGCGACACGTAGCACGGCAGCCGGTTGCCCAGCCACCGCACCAACCGTGCAGATAATATTAACACACAGACAAACAGATAATAGTATTTATTATAAAGCAAGTGCTTCATTACAACTTACGACAATACTTATTGTTGGATGGCAGTGTGTCTACCAAGCATAAGGACTTGAAACCAGAGTCAGGCAAAAATTTAAAATAGTATACCTACTCTGTTTTTATAATAACTATCATGAGACATACTGAATTATACCACGACGGTGGCAAAAAAGCACACGGCCCACCTGATGGTAAGCGGTTACCGTGGCCTATGTACGCCTGCAGCACTTGGGGCATTACATGCGTCTTGCCGACCCTTACTGAATAAAAACAAAATGACAATTACTTATGTAAATACACTGAGAGAGGCCGCGCGACATAGCACGCTGCTCATGAGGAAGAGTCCCTCTGTACCTCGAAACTAGTAGAACTTTTCTCAGTATATTTACGCGAGTAACTCATTATTTTTAGTTGGTTATTATATACTCGTTTAAAAAAACACTTTAAAGTTTTACAAAAGCGCACTACGTTTACTTATCCATCTTAAGGTTTCCTACATGACAACAAAGAAACATGCATAAAATAAATATTATCTGTTTTTGATGTATGGGCCGTTTCACGATGTCTGTATAGCCCCTATACACCAAATAAATAATTAAGATCGTTATTTGTATGAACTATCTGTGACATAAGTTTATCTGGTACATTTACGGAGGAGGTGAAACAGGCGCTTAATCTTGTAAATGGCGTACAATAAACCAATTATTATTATTCTTATACACCTACCTTTCTCCGCACTCAAAGACGTGAGCGCTCTCCAGCCAGCGTTCCTCAATCCCTTGGCGCGACTCAACGCCTTATATACCGGTATAGCATGAGCGGATGGTACATGCAATTCCCACCCTAATTCCCCAGACCATGTGACTCTTAATGCCCTGCATCTGTAGCGTTTGTCTTCTGGAGTGTTAGCTGCCTTGGTGACGTGAATGCTGCGATGTGTGTTCACTGGGAAGGCGTCGTTTGAGAGGCCGGCGTCAGTATAGCGTTGGAGGATGCGTTGGCTGTGAAGGAGATTTGCACAAAATTTTAACGTAGGTTCTATAGAAATCTAGGAATAGGTAGTTTATTAAGGCCGCCTCTAAGGTCTTTTTTTGTAAGGGGGAAAATCATCAAATGACTGTTCCCGCCTAGGTGGGAGGCGGGAGCGAGTGTCAGACTCTTACTGACTAAAAACCTCCCTGTTCCTTCTCCTGCACTTCGAGCCAGAGCCCCGGTAACCCGTTAGGTTCTCCGCGACTCCGAATCGGCATCGGCCCTATTGGGCCCCATCCATGGTGGTCTGATGCGCCGTTCGCTCGGGCCTCTAAGGTCTAAACTCTAAGGTCTTCTTTTTGTTGATTATTGAATCAATTGGACTGCAAAATTTTATTGTTGTGTGTCTGTCCATATCTACTTCGGCATGGTTGGCGCGGTGGCTAGGCAACTGGCTGTCGCGGTTTAAATTCCCGCTCGTAACAACTTTTTGTGTGATCCACAAATTGTTGTTCCGGGTCTGGGTGTCATGTGTATGTGAAATTGTATGTTTGTAAACGCACCCACGACACAGGAGAACATACTAGTTTGGGGCAGTTTTATTTAAAAAAAATCTATTCCAAAATTTTCACTATCACCGATTGGTTCGACCCCATTCACAAGGTAAAATAAACCCTCGCCTATACGCCGCGGCGTATAGACACCGCCGGCTCCTTACCCTCAGGTGATGATTGTTTGCCGCTCTATACCATACAAATGAATTATAAGATATTTTGCTAACATATATGGCAATAGGCTCACCCCCTATTACATGGGACTCATAACATAAATAGGGAAAAGTGGGCATTGTACAGTGGCATCAAGTGCCGAAATGTGCACGATGTGCGAGATGGTATGTTTGCTAACATTAACTAAAGAACCCCTTACCTATCAGGTCCCTGAACACTAAGAATGCACATCTGCTTGGTGACGTCAGTGATGGTGGCACGCAATTTATGCGTGTTGATGATCCGGCGCAGGTGGGCCAATGTATGGTTCGCACTGAAACCACTTGTAACTACGTAGTAACCACGACCCTAGGAGAAAGACATTTTAATCAATAATAATTTCTGTCTGTCAAAAAATAAGTTGCGTTGAAAAGTTCATTTGAGACGAGAGGGGCAAGGGAGATTCGATATCTGGATCAGATGAAAATTTATTAATGTAAAAGTGTTTACTTTTCTGTACGCTAACCAGTTAGTATGGGCAAACTGGGTAACTTATTAACACACGGGCACATGGGTTGATGTGTTAGGTATAATAATATAACACTCATAAAATAGTGTTTAGGAACTTCTAGCAAGGAGGTACTCCTTTCTTCTCCCCTCCTCTACTCAATAAGATGATGACAGCCACCCACAGTCACATACCTTGAAAATAGGCTCGTGTAGCCCACCAGTGCCGCCATCTAGAATGCTGACAGTAACGTCAGCTTCCACACCTCCCTTATCGTTCAACAGTAGAGAATACACCACCCTGGAAAACGAAAAAGTTATTAAAGTACGTTAAATTTTTTTAATTTTTTAAGTAAGATAGCCTACACTTCGATTCGAATAGACCAACTCGGTTAGTTGCGCAACCAGCTGTGCAACATTTTGTTGAAATATAGACCCTTAAGATTCGGAAGACTTAACGGGTTGCCGGGGCTTTGGCTCGAAGGGCAGGAGTATGAACAGGGCTTTTTTTTCAGTCAGTAAGAGTTTGACACTCCCCCCCCCCGCGCTTTACTCAGGCGAGTGAAGTCATTCGATAATACCCCACCCCCCTTAAAAAAAAGAAAAAAAGGATACCAGAAGCGTTATCCCCCCCCCCTCTCTTTGGTTCCCCCAAAAGGTCGGTAACGCACTTTTAACCCTTCTGATGATGCGGGTGTCTAGGGGCGGCACCGATACCTTATCATCAGGTGATCTTTCCTATTCCATGAGAAAAACATTATATTATGAAACTTAACAGTAAATTCTCTAATTACGCCTTACCTATCATCATGTTTGGAGAGATCGGCAGTGAATGCGAGGTCAGCAGTGCGCTGTGCGTCCGGCCCGGTCAGGTAGAACTTGCCATAGTACGACATGTTGAATAGAGCTGCCGCATTACGGCACGCTAGGGCTTCTTCACCGATCTGAGGTAGAAAAA